TGACTGGGAAAGATAGCTGGTTTCGCAAGACAGGCGGTGCCGGATACCGAGGGCATACAAATTCCAAGCTGCGTGGCGCTTGATGGGCAACTCCTTGACTGCAATCGCGGACCGTCCTTAGTGGACGCTCCAATTTCATTTCGCGCCGAATCGCCACGAGAGACAAGACTGCAGCTGTCTCTCGGCATCGGGCGAAGTAGCTCCGGAGAAACTGCGTTATGACCTCTCGCTATTGCTGCAGCCGCTGTGTTGGCTGTGTAAAGCACCGTCTCGATCGTTCTTGGCGCAAGAGCTGGGCGTCCAGCAGTTCTTATCTATCACACGGACCGAAAAGTCCTTGCATGCAATCGCCCATCTGTCGTTATGCTAGAAATGCCCGTGGTGAATTTTTATCCGGATAACGGCACCAAGATGGGCCGTACCGAAAACAAGGAAAGGTCAAATCCCTAATTAGGCATTGCGATCCGAAAGCCAGATGGCCGACGTCGACGCGCTGCAGGCCCGCATTGCGGCCCTCGAAGCCCATGTTCGCGAGCTCGAGGCCGAGAAGCATGGCGGTCGCCGTAAGGTAGAGCACATGAGCAGCGAGGTTATCGACTCGAATCCGTACAGCCGGCTCATGGCGCTCCAGCGCATGGGCGTCGTCGCCGACTACGAGTCGATCCGGTCGCTCTCGGTGCTGATCGTGGGCCTTGGCGGCGTCGGGTCTGTCGCCGCCGAGATGCTGACGCGCTGCGGAATCGGAAAGCTCTTGCTCTACGACTACGACCGAGTCGAGCTCGCCAACATGAACCGCCTCTTCTTCCGGCCGCACCAAGCGGGCATGACCAAGACGGCGGCGTCCGTGCAGACGCTGGCGGCGATCAACCCGGACGTGGCCTTTGAAGAGCACACGATGGACATTACGACGACCGCTAACTTTGAGCAGCTCCTCGACCGCATCGCACACGGTGGCCTCCATGGCGGGCGCGTCGACCTCGTCTTGAGCTGCGTCGACAACTACGCAGCGCGCATGTCCATCAACCAAGCCTGCAACGAGCTCAACATGACGTGGATGGAGAGCGGTGTCTCGGAGGACGCTGTCTCGGGCCACATCCAGACGCTGCTGCCCGGACGCACCGCGTGCTTTGAGTGTCTACCACCGCTCATTCTCGCGTCGGGTGTGCCCGAGTCGACGCTCAAGCGCAACGGCGTCTGCGCCGCGTCGCTCCCGACCACCATGGGGCTCGTCGCGTCGCTTCTTGTTCAGAACGCGCTCAAGCATCTTCTGCGCTTTGGGAGCGTCTCGTACTACCTGGGGTACAGTGCGCTGCGGGACTTTTTTCCCATGGACGTGCTGCGGCCCAACCCCGAGTGTGCAAGCGCCGACTGCCGCCGCCAGCAAGCTGCGCACGGTCCGTGGTCACCACCAACCCCAGACAACCTCGATGTCCATGCTGTGGTACACGACACGAACGACTGGGGCATCCAAATGTGCGATGCCAGCGACGACACCACGATCGGAGCTTCGACGTCGATATCACCCGGGCTTTGCTTTGCGTACGAGGCGAGAACCCTCGACGAAGCGACCTCAAGCGTTCAAGTGTCGCCCGAGACGTCGGTCCAAGACCTCATGGCGCAGCTCCAGGCGTTGTAATTTCCTCAATCAAGACCGAACTACTTGGGGGCAACAACCGTGTTGGTCATGCCAGTGGTGCGTCGGTCGAGCGCCTAGGCAACGATGTAGTAGACACCCTGTGCAAGAGCTCGTGTGCTCTGCGCTTCGATCTTGGATCTTGCAACGTATGCGACCTTGGAGCCGGTCTTCTAGTTCGTTCGGCCTTGCGCGGAAAACCTCTTTCACTTCTTGGAAACGGCCCGACCTTGGAGCCATTGCTACCACGGCCGTGGCCTTCCTACGCCTTGCTCCCGCTGTTTGCGTCCGTCGGTCGAGTGCCATGGCAACGGTGTCGCCCGAGTAATAGACAACCTGTGCAACAAGAGTATACGGTAGACTCAGTGAGATGCTTATATTGATGCATTGCAGCACTGTGCGAGCGTATGCAGTGATCTTTGAGTAATCTCTTACTCGTTTTCTTGGCCTTCGTGAGGCCTTTCGGGAGCTTCTTGGTGACCGCATGACGGCAAAGGTGTAGCCGAGGCCGCCACCGAGCGCCAAGACGGCCGCCATCGTCTCGAGGCGGAGCGCCAGCAGCTCCGAGACGGCGAGTGAAAACGATTGCAACATGATATGCAGCGCCGACGGCGGGTGCGGCAGCGCGGTCGGCGTCGTCGCCTTGTACCGCCCTTGACAAAGTCGAGGACCGCGTCCTTGGTTCGCTCGTCCTTGCTCGGGAAGGCGTACACGAGCCGCTTGGTCTTGTCGACCAGAAGCACGCTCGGGTAGCTCTCGACGTTGAGACGCGTGCGCAGCTCCTCCTCGAGTGCGCCATCGATGCGCGCGACGACCATGTCGCTCTTGAGATCCTGGGCGATGGCCTCGTACGCGGCTGCAAACGCGCGGCACGGGCCACACCACTGCGCGTAAAACTCGACGAGGAAGAGCTCGGACGACGAGACACTGCCGTTGGCCGGTCCTTGCAGCACCGTGTCAAAGATCGTGGCCGTCCACTCGGCTACATGGACGTTCTTGGCCATCTCGGTCGGCGTGGCTTGCTTCTTGGCTTGCGCTGGCTGGATGGCCTCGGCCGTTGGAATCACCGGCATGTCCTTCTTCGTGGATGTCGTCGTCGTGTAGCCGCCATCGGCAAACGCCACAAGCGCGTCCACACTTCGGTCGCCTTCAAAGAGCGTGTACGAGTCATCGTGGAGCATCAGAATGGTCGGGTACGACGCGATGCGAAGGCTTGCATGAGCGGACGGTTGGCGACATTGGTGCCATCGATCGAGCCCGCAATGATGTTCTTGGCCTTGAGCGCCGTCGCGACCTTGCCAAAGGTCGGAGCAGCTTGTTGCAGTGGCCGCACCACGGCGCATGAAACATGACGAGGCGCGCCAGCTTGGACCCACGGACATCGTCGGTCGTGAGCGTTTGCACGTCGACGAGTGCGGCTTGGTCCACCTCGCTCGCCTTCTTCTTGGTCGCCGGCTTACCGTCCATCGGAGTTTGTGGCAGCGGACGCGAGTCCTTGGTTGCATAGTCGGTCAGCGCAAACGCCGTCATGAGCTTGGGGTCGCGGAGGCCGTCGAACTCGTAGACGCGGCCGTCGCGGATGAGCACGAGCGTCGGGTAGCCCGTGATGGCAAAGCGCATGCCGAGCTTGGCGTTGATGTCGGCGTCGACGCGAGCAACATGCACGTTGCCGTGGTCCTTGAGCGTCAAGGCCGTTTGGAGCATCGCGCCCATCATGTCCTTGCAGTGGTCGCACCAGTGCGCGTGGAACTGGACGAGCCACGCGTCGGCGTTCGGCTCATGGACGCGCGTGACCGCATCAAAGGTGTCGTCGGTGAGGTCGACGAGCGGCGACGTCGGAATGTCCTTGGCCTCCTGCTCGGCGTAGCCGCCGGTCGCAAACGCCTCGAGCGCCTCGAGCGTGCGCGCGCCGTCGTACGCATACATCTTGTTGTCCTTGACAAAGAGGACAGTGGGGTACCCGTTGACTTGGAAGCGCAGCTTGAGCTCGACGTCGTCGGTCGCGTCGACCTTGGCAATGTGCACATCGGCGTTGTTTTGGAGCGACACGGCGAGTTTTTCCCATGTCCGCGCCATCTTCTTGCAGTGGCCGCACCACGGCGCCATAAACTTGATGAACCACCCGCCGCTGGTCGGTGCCATCACGAGCTCGTCAAAGGTGGCGGTGGTGAGCTTGACGACCGCCGAGTCGTCTTCCGAGATACCGCCGTCGGCCATCGGAATCGGGTCGCCCGCCTTCTCCGTGTACCCCGTCGTTACAAACGTCGTGAGCGCATCGAGGCTGCGCGCGCCCGCATACTCGTACATCTTGCCATCCTTGAAGAAGACGAGCGTCGGGAAGCCCTGGATGCCAAAGCGCTCGCCAATGGCTTCGTGCTCGGTGACGTCGACTTTGGCAATGTGCACTTGACCGTGCAGGTCCTGGGAGAGCGCGTCGTACGTCGGCGCGAGCTGCTTGCAGTGGCCGCACCACGGCGCGTAAAACTTGACGAGCCAGCCGTCCTTGCTGTTGACCACCTTGGCGTCAAACGTGTCGGCGGTCAGCGCCTCGACGAACGACGGCGCGTTCGGGTCGCGCTTCTTGGGCACGGCCTTGGCGTCCATGGCCTCGTAGCCACCTTCGAGGAACATCTTGAAGCCCGCGACCGAGCGCTCGCCCTTGAAGCTGTACATCTTGCCTTGCTTGAAGAAGAGCAGCGTCGGGTACCCCGTGACGCCAAACTGTTCCTTGATGTCATTGTGCGCCTCGACGTCAATCTCGGCGATCGAGGTGTGGCCCGCGACCTCGATAGCGAGCTCTTCAAAGATGGGTGCGAGACGCTTGCAATGGCCGCACCACGGCGCGTAAAACTTGATGAGCCAGTCGCCGCGTGCACCGGTTTCGAGCTGCGTGAGCTCCTGAAAGTTGTCGCCCGTGAGCTGGACGACGTTGCTGCTACCCGCGTCGTCGGCGAGAACGAGCGAGATCAGCGCGACAACGACCGCAAGAAGCGCGGTCGACACTTTGTTCATTGCACGTTGCTGTGAGAGGCAATAAGAAATGAAAACTGAGTTGTAGCGTTGTTGGTGGAATCCATCCGGAAAATTCATCGAACTCTCCGGTTAATACTGGCTTCGATTTTCTTTGGAAAATGTAGAACTGCGGAAACATCGGTGGCAGAGGCGTCGACGCTCGATGCTAGAAGGCTCAGAGCAGCTTCATTAACAAAAGTACCAGATTGGTGCAAAAGCTGGCGCTACATACATGTGTGTTCCACCTGGTTCAGGGGATATAGAGGGTCGGTCGGTTACACGTCGGGGGTTGCGCTTTAACGGTATCTTGAAGATCGCTCGTGAACCGACGCCGGAGCCAAAACGGACTGCTTTAGGAGGCGACAGAGGTTACAGGGTCAACGATTCTAGCAGCCTCGAGAGCCCATTGACTTGCAGTGATTGATTTGACCCTTTGTAAACGGTCTATCCGCCGCTGGTGTTCTGAAGCGACGTCGGGGTCGATACATGCCTTTTTTGTTCCTCTCAAGGCTAGAACAGTGTTGATAATGACTTATTTTCGGCAGCGTGGCATTGACATACATTCCTTTTTTTGTAGCGTTGTGATTGGTGTCCCAAGTTCGGACAACAAACATTTTGGTGTCCGAGCCCTGGAGGTATTGTATTTTATCGACTACTTGTAGGTCATGCTCGGCCCTGAGTGAATGTATAGGTTAAAGTATCGATCGATGCGTCAATATGTAGGTTATACTACTGTTTATGAGTGCATATTTGCGTTAAACGATGGTGTCACTGGTGACATGTGGTTTTATGTCAAAAGAGCCATCTTTGAGACGCCCTAACCATGGTGGTCCCGGTCGTGGTACCAGTCGGATCGTTTTCAAGAAGAGAAATATTCCGCGCGATGGAACGAGCAGCCACGAACAAGAGAAGAGTAGAAGAACAGAAGACCAAACTGCAAAACAAGCCAGGGCGCCGGGCGTGCCCGCTCCAGCCATACGTAGGTATTTCAAATACCTAACCACCTCCTCGCCCACCAGTGCGCAGGCGGGGCACCAATACATTCGATACCCCCAATCTGCACGGCCGTCTACAAGGATCAGACTAAGTCTAAGTACTATTTTGAAGAACGGTGCATTCAGCGCACATTGGCTTCAAATTCGGCCCCAACTTCATCCGTTTATCTGCATAGTAAAAATAGCATTAGGCTTCGAGCCGACGTTGTGCTCCCAACGACGAACTTGCTTGATCACCAATGAGCTTGTGAAATTCATCAGTGCACTTTTAAATGAAGCAAGGAGCATCCATATTTGCTCTGGCATTGCATGTACTACGAGTGATGGCTTACTGAGCGCTTGTGTGGGCATCGCGTAGGTCGCTTGGCTGGTGTCCTTAGAGCTTGTAATCGCCAGCGCAGAGCTTGGCGTACTTGGTGTCGGTAACGCGCGTGACGCTGTTGGTTCGCTCCAAGACAAATATCACATCGCCGTCGGCCGCCTTTTGAGGATTGAAGCCGTCGATTGCGAGCTCATACGTCTGGTACTTGTGCGTCGTCGTCATCGGCAGCGGACGCGTCGTGACACGGACAAAGAGCGGCCACTTGAAGCGGGCAACCTGCATCGCCTCGAGCTGCGCATACAAATGTCCCACACTGGTCTCTGGGTCGTCGTCTGGTGCGATGCGGAGGAGCGCCATGCCGGCCTTGCCATCCATGTGCGGTACGGCCACGCCATATACGACGGCTTCAAGCACGGACGCGCAGACGGTGATCGCCGACGCGACCTCGGTGGTGCTCACGTTTTCGCCCTTCCAGCGAAAGGTGTCGCCGATGCGCTCGACAAAGTAGACAAAACCGTCCTCGTCCACCTCGAGCAAATCCCCCGATCGAAAGTACGTGTCGCCTTCCTGGAACACGTCGCGCAAAATCTATTGAAAAGACAATTGTGACCATCAACCCTCCAACTTACTCTCAAAGACACCTTGGCTTCGGTGGCAGCGGCGTCCGAGTAGCCATCGAATCGTCGGAGCACGTGGGAGTTGTCAATGAGCGCAATGAGCTCCCCCGGCTCGTTATTGTTGACGGGGATGCAGCGACCGCGCGCATCCCGCACAACCGACTGTGTTACTGGGTCGTAGCGAACGATCTTGAGCGGGTAGAGGCGCTTGACCAGCGGCGAGAGACAGCCGACAGCGCCGACGCGGCCTTCCGTATTGATCAAGCCAGCATTGCTCTCGGTCGCCGTGTAAAACTCAATGATCTTGGGCACATGGAACCGCTCCTGAAACGTGACCCAGACGTCCTTGCGGAGGCCGTTGCCGATCGCAAGACGCACATTATGGGCCATATCGGTCGCCTGCGGTGGTGTTTGGCAGAGGAACCGGCAGGTTTCGCCAATGTACTGAACAACTGTCGCCTTCCAGTGCACGCAGTCGGGCCAGAACTGGGACGCGGAGAACTTGGGCTTGATGAGCTGGACGGCACCGGTGTGCAGCGCGAGGCAAAAGGCGAGCAGCGCTGACCCGTGGTAGAGTGGCAACGCCGTGTAGATGCGGTCGCTCGCTGTGACGCGGCAGTAGCGCATGTATAAGTACCCGGCGCCGTACCAGCGCAAATGGTTCATTTTGGCTGCCTTTGGCAAGCCCGTCGTGCCACTTGTAAAGATGTGCACGAGCGTGTCCGTGAGCGTGACGCGGTCGCGGTAGCTCGCATCGAGCGGCAACGACGACGCGTCATTGTACGCCAGCACGGGCGCGTCATCATGGGGCGGCGTCAAATCGTCCACGCACACGCACGAGACGCGGGCACGAATGTCGTTTGGAAGCGCGAGGTAAATGTGCACCGTGGCCGACGTGCAAACGACGTGCGTGGCGTGGCACACGTCCAGCGCGTGCACGAGGTGGTTGCCTTGGATCGATGGGTTGAGGAGCGCCGAGGTCACGCCAATCTTGGCCATCGCAATGATCTATCCACCGACAACATCATATGAACTACTATGACGTGATCGCTCGCGAGGGACGCACGAGCAACGGAAAGAGCACGCCGTTCGGAAGAAGGAGCGCCGCCGTGGCGTGCTGCTGCAACCCGACGCCATGGCTGGCGCGGGCGATTTGGTTCGTCACCGCGTCAAACTCGCGGTACGAGTAGACTTTGGTTGGCCGCGCCTCGTGCGGCAGCGTCGTCGATGGCAGCTCGACCTCGACGAGCGGCATGTCCAGCCGCTGCTCGACGGCAGCGGCCCAAAAGTCAATAAACGTCCAACCGCCCGGGCGGTTCTGCTTGGCAATCGCGTTGCCGTGCGACGCCACGTCGATGAGCACGCGGAGGAAGCGCAGATCGCGAAGAAAGCCGCTCCAGACCTTGCCCATGCTGGTCGTCCTCGTGTCGCGTGACCAGCGTCTGAACCCGAAAGTGCCAAGTCATTGTCGTCCGTGATTGGCTAACATGCGCCATTCACAAACGAGTATATCTTTGGTGAAAGGCCGTCGAGCTGCGGTGGGTTATCAACTCGACTCAAGGTAGACAAGCATGGAAGGGCTCATGGAAGGTCTTGCATGCTGGGCCGAGCGAAACCTTGCGTATGTATCACCAGCTTTCGTGTGTCGACTCCTGATGATATGTAGTGACTTGACACGGTCGTTTGCATCTTCAATGTACGGGTGCATGGTGGCAAAGCTGTCTCCATCAATGGCGGTATCAGTTGTGGCCATCATAGCCGCGTTCTTCTCCACAGAAACTCCAGCCTATGTGAGCGTGTGCAGTCGTAGTCGTGCAGCCCCACCACAGCTGTCGTCCATCGACCGCTGTGCAGGAAGGGTTTTCCATACTTGTTCTGTAAGAAGCATGGTGTCGAATCGAACAATCGGTGTTGTACGCGTCTCTCAACAACGTGGCGTTGGCACCGTCCTCGGTTGTAGCTTCGAAAATCGAAGCCTCACACCATCCTCGCGCTCCTTCCCACACTCCTTCAAGCACTCACCAAGTAGCAACAAACCACCCAGTTGCAGCATGTACCTCGGTCGCGCGTCTGCGTACATGGCGCTCGCGTTCTGGATCGCATCGTCCGCCGCGTCGTCTGTCGTCCGCCTCAATAGCGACACGTTCGATGCAGTCACGCAGCTCCAATCGCCCGAGACTGACTGGTTCATTGCCTTTCACGCGCCAAACTGCCAGTACTACGAAGCGCTCGAGCCGACGCTCAGCGCTGTCGCCAAGGCTATGCCCAAGCAGCTGCGCGTCGCCGCCGTCGACGGTCGTCAAAACTCCGATCTGAAGGATCGCTTCAACGTCCGGCGGACGCCAACCGTGTACTTCTTCCACAACGGCCGCATGTACCCGTTTAAGGGGCCGCAGACCGTCGAGTACATGACCGAGTACGCAAGCGGCGGCTTCCGCGAGATTGACCGCGCGAATCTCAACTTTAAACGTTACCTGCCAGTGCCGCCGCCCGTGCGACAACAGAACATTGATGACGTCAATGCGACATGGGCCACGGACAAGTCGCAGACGTCGTCGAAAAATCACCTGGCAGCGGCTGGCAACATGAAGAGCGATTTGTAAATATGTGCAATTTTGTCTATCAGTTTCTGGACTAGTATCATTTGGGACATTGCGGCTTCCAACACTTCGAGGTAGGTAGGGCCTAGTATAGATATGTGAAGATACATCAAGAAAGAAGTCTTCAGTCAATGCGTAGAATAGAGATCTCCAACTGAGCTCGACAAGGCGATCATTGCCACGATTGCCACGTGCCCCTGCATCTTTACGCATACTGCCAACACAGCCCGGGTGGTATCGATATCGGAGCCCCAATCCTGCAGTGGACGCTGGCATCGTACAATTAGGTACCGCAGAATCGACATTGATGTTTTCAGCTGTTGTTCGTGACCACGGGCCGTGCTTTTGCTCCAGATTGCTTCCGTTGCCTCGAGTTAATGACTCTGAGAGGATCTAAGAGACCCGCCCTCAGCATCGCCGACCCATGTGCTGGGACACACATGTCGCGCCAGCTTGTGCACCAAGCAGGTGCCCATGAAGCTGCGCCGCGCCTTCTAGCATCGCGCCTCTGCCACCGATGTTTCCGCAGTTCTACATTTTCCAAAGAAATTCGAAGCCATTTTGAACCGGACAACCGCGATGGATTTCCGGATGAAGAGCATCGATCGACCGTTATCAATCAGTTTTCATTTCTTATTGCCTCTCACAGCAACGTGCAATGAACAAAGTGTCGACCGCGCTTCTTGCGGTCGTTGTCGCGCTGATCTCGCTCGTTCTCGCCGACGACGCGGGTAGCAGCAACGTCGTCCAGCTCACGGGCGACAACTTTCAGGAGCTCACGCAGCTCGAAACCGGTGACCGCGGCGACTGGCTCATCAAGTTTTACGCGCCGTGGTGCGGCCACTGCAAGCAGCTCGCGCCGACGTACGACGCGCTCTCG